CAAAGTCACAGCTGCGTCTGAAGCTCCGCCCCTAACCTGCAGCGGTCTGCACTCGTTTCTCCCAGGCTGCCTGAACTGCACACTGTCACTACAGATGGCCGACACACTGGGCCTGATCTCAGTCACTTTTGGCACTCACCTCTCAGTCAGAGCGCTCGCTAACATCGTGTGGTTCAAAGGTCACGATGAGGCGAGCGTGAGGCTGAGCTGCCAAACTCACCGTGAGTCAAACCCACATCAGGGCTCCAGAGCAGCACCGCACACGGGTGAGCAGCAGTACTGCAGTAGTGTTTGCAGCAGGAGCAGCGACTGACCTGTGCTGAAGAAATGAAGTCGAGGTCGTCGAAGCTGTGGATGTTGAAGCTGTTCTTGGTCAGCGGGTCGGTTTTAAACTCTGCAGACCTGAAGGAGAACAGCACAGCGTTACAGGGAGCCTGCTGTTCCTAACCTTCTGTCAGTGTCTTCAGGTGAGCCAGAAGCTCCGCCTCCTGTATGATGCCACAGAGTACAGATACCCTTTTATGGTCCCAAGTATAGAAACTCAGATATGTTTGTGCAGGAAGCTGGTTCAAAGTGGGCGGAGCTAAAACTGTCAGTGTGAGGTCATTCTGAGCTAAAGAGACGAGCTGAGCTACGTTACCACAGCAGTTCACTGGACGAGTGATGGGAGGTGCATCTCTTCTCGTATCTCCTCCTGCGCCCGCCGTCCTCCACGTCCAGGTTCACCTCCTCCCATTTCTCCAGAGGAGACGACAGGCTGACTGCAAACACAACCACATGCCTGAGGTCCAATCATCATTACTGGTGTGTGTTTATCAGTAATGAGGATGAGTACGCTTCAGCCAGTAAAAACACAAAGTGCAGCTGGGTGGAAACAGGAAGTGGGACACTCATCACAGTAAAAGCTGCGATTAAAGATCCTCACGACTCGGTGACTTTAAAGCTTTTAATGAAATGAAGTGATGAAGACCTGAGTGATGAAGGCTGAGTGTATTTATAGATGGGTTTATGCAGACGTGGGGCAGCACAGAGCCGCACTTTTAGCTGATTTATTCGTTAATGACAAAGCTGAAAATCTGCCACACTCTCAG